TAACAAGGCAACCAGGACTGAGACCTGCCTAGAGCTAAGCCTTTTAGGAGACCAGTTGGACTACGTTCCCTCTGTTACCTTATGCGAACTTATCAGATGTGCTGAGTTGGTAAATGGTGCGAACCTAATGCAATGGTACTGGCTTGGAAATTGTTGCAAAACAGTACATATGTACTGGGTTGTGGAAATTGCTCTTTCATTACAAGGGTTTGTGCAATTCTCAGCTTTTTTTTGTTTGAAATGTTCTGTCTTCAAGACAGTTTCAGACACTTTACTAGTATCAATAGTAAAGTCGCTGTGGCTTGATCGTGCTGCGTCTCCCGTGATAATCACTCTGGGAGATGCAACTGTAAAGAGCTTTGCAAGATAGAATCAAAGATGGGACACCGTATGTTTGATACATGCGGCGATCCAATCTTCGAGTAATTACGGTGTACTTCGTGGTACTGAAATACACATTGTGCTTTGCAGCGATTCTGGCAAAACGAAATTAGATTTGCTGGATCTAAAAGCAGCACGTGGTGGATTTAAGATAAATCGAGTTCATAAAACCGTGCTCCTCGATGATTTACGATAAATTTTGAAGTGCAATTCTGGCACATACAGGGTATGCTGCATTTCGTTCAACCAGGCCCGGAGTTGTAAAATCAAACAGGGGTGCCTTTATCAGCGCAAACACAAGGCTGATGGCTATACATGTATTGTTTTACTGTAGACACATATTTAACTAAAATAAGGAGAATGCTTCTTTTTTCACACACATTTACGATGACGGATTGTCATTTTTAGCGGCTAAAATGACGGCAAAATACATTCACAATCACTTCGCGAAACGCTCTCTGAGGCACAAGTAGGTAAAAGTTCGCAATCACTTCTCGAATCGCTCTCTGAGGCTCAAGCTGGTAGGCCATGAGGTTACTCTATCTCCTGGTAGTTGTGGTCACACTCGTTGGAAGCTGTGGTGCTATCTCAACGCCCAGCAAATCCGGGGCCCGCACGCGTTTCAGTAGCGAAGTTAAAACGCTCCTGAGGAGTTTGAAAGCCAAGTCTGTAAGTGACACCGACGACAAAATCGAAGAAGAGAGAGCGGGAGGGAACCTGGCTAAGGTCGATGACTTGGCCGAAATGGCAGCTAACAAGCTAGCAGACGACATCGTGGACGATATACCTAAATTGGTCACGACATTTGAAAACTGGAAACAGCTAACAGGTACAGAGGCTTTCAAAACCCCCGTTGCTGTAAAGTTGGCAGAGGCGTCCGAGGCCAAGTGGTGGAAAGTGTACAATTTGTACGGGGAGTTTAACATATTAGGGAAGAAAGCTTTCATCGAGAAGCTCGAGCATATCAAGAAACAGAAACTCCAGGCACCAGCGCAGAGGTAGAAGCGAATTATGTAAGTGTTTAGCAGCGAGGCTTCCCCAAAAACACAAACTGTAGCTTACTTCAAAGGGTGAAAAATAAAACGCGATGAAGTCAACGACAAAAACGAAATTCTCCATCGGCTAAGATTCCCAAGAACAGCGTCTCGATTTATTCGCAAGGGCGATATTCTCTCGTACTGTATTGCTGAGCACTGATATCACAACCACGGGATTTTTGCAGTGTTATGGGAACGTTGCCGTGAGGTTGCCAGCGGTTGTATCGCATCTCTACGGCTTGGACGTCGCAACTAATGGTGTTGATGTCTCAGAATTAATTGGTCTTATTAGCGGCAACGATAATGCTTAAGTAACTAGAATGAGCTGTTCCTCCGCTTCCACAACGCCTTGGTATAGCACAGATGAGTACAGCAATCACAGAGGACGGATTTTGAATGCTACGTCACGCATCATTATCTGCGCTGTTTTAGCGTTTTCTACCACGTCTTGAGATGGAGCCGACCTGCTACGTTTCTCGTCAGTACAAGTGCAAGATCCCCTCACGCTTACGGAAAAACTCGTACGGACAAATACCCCAGTACCTATGAGTAATACCTTTTGTCTGGGATCGAGGGAGACTTGTATTCGTGGAGAACACCTGAAAACTCAGCTAATAACGCTTAGTGCACACGTGACCTTCGTTCACAACCACGACGTCAGAACATTGGCAACACTGGTGAGCTAAGTGATCACCATTTCCACGAGAAAAGGGGAGGAAAGGAAGGCGTAAAGTCCACTTGGTGTGTTTTTTATAAGCTGCGACTCCGATTCTTACTTCTTTTGATGATTCACGTAACGCAGAGACAGCAGCGCTAGTAGTCTGAAAAACACGATGAAAGCTACAACAATACCGCAATTCGTCCATAACTCACCACGCTCGACAAGAAAGACGTCGTTCATATACTCTTTCACCGTAGTGCTGCCAGCAAGTGAAGGTGGGGTTCCAGTCATCACCTGGCAACCGACTTCAAAGCCTTTTCCATCGCTAGGACAGTCTCCAAAGACGATGGATGCCAAGATAGCGAACGTGTATGTGTGGGGGGAGATGTAGTACAGCCATTTGTAGCCCGTTGGAATCGAATTCGCCGGTGGATTGTACCCCATAAACAGGAAGAAAATAGTGTTCAGCAGCATACTCAGCACCGCCGCGACTTCCATACTGGGTAGAATGTACATCATGAACTCGCCAATATACGCTTGCAACAGTACATGAAGCGACATGTTGAACCAGTAGAGGAAAAACGACCCCACTCCAGTAAAGCCCACGGACGGATAGAAGCCGACCATGAACAATAGCGTAGCGGCAAAAGCGTACGGAATCTCGGCCAAACTTGATGCGATAAAATACCAGAAGGCATTGTACGTCTGGGCAGCTCGTTCACGATAGAAACTAGCTCGGCCTTCGTCTGCAATCGGTAAAATACTATGGAACGAAGTGATTGGCGCTGGTGTTGGCAATAACAGCGGCGACAAGACCGACTTTGTTGCGCTTTACAAGAACAGCAAACAATTCCAGGAGCTCCAAGATAATTTCGATCGTGAAGGTTTATTCCAGCCATCATCCACGCTACCACCGTTAGAGTACGGGGACAAGCGAGCGTCGACCAATCTGACGCAGATGAAGTTCTTAACCAAGCGCTTTTTCGATCTGTACTGGCGGACGGCGTCCTACAATTTGACGCGCTTCTTTATCTTCATGTTTGGGTATTATCATCGGCATCACGTATACCGGGAGCAACTACTCGTCGTACCAGGGGATCAACTCGGGAATGGGTATGATGTACATGACCATCACTTTTGTGGGAGTCATTTCCAACATCCACGTAGCCGGGTTATAGTTACTCTGTAGGTTCTGGACGCCGTCAATGCATTCAAAGTAGTCGATCAAGTTCACAGCGTTTTCTCCAAGATCACCGAAGAATACGCTTTCACCACCTCGATTTTTGCAGTAAAAGACTGTCGAATACTTGGAATACTTCGGCTGAAGGTTGATGAATGGTACAGACAATTGTACGTCCAGTATTTGCAACTTTCCGAACTCCATCCATGATCAACTTTGCCGATCGAGCATCCAAACCACTCGTAGGTTCATCCAGGAAAATAATACTGGGCTGGGCTGCTAATTCCACTCCAATAGTCAGTCGCTTCATCTGCTCCGTGGACGCTCCACGGATGATTTGGTCAGCGATAGATTCCATGTCCGAAGGACAAGACACTCATTCACCGAGTCGTACTTCTTGCTGTCTGATACATCGGCGCCTTGACGTAGGAATGCACTGAACGTCAAAGCTTCACGGAATGTAGACGCCATTGAATGTACATCCATCTGCTCGCAGTATCCCGTAGAGCGTCGAATAGCTAAATCAGTAGCTGGATGGCCATTCAACAAGATTTGCCCTTGAATTTTACCTTCAGTTTTCCGACCAGCGATCACATCCATTAACGTCGTTTTACCAGCACCTGAAGACCCTATCAGCGCAGTGATAGTCCCAGGTAGAGCGAATCCGCTGATTCCTTTGAGTAAATCGATCCACTCTTTCGAATTATGTGGGTCTGGAACGGTATACCATAAATCCTTAAAGGCAATGGTAACCGGGATGAAATTTTTCTCTCGTACTGGCACATCGATCATTGTCGTGTCATTTTGTGCTCCACGTGGTGTTTTAACAAGGTTATAACCACCAGTTGCGTTGGTTGTCGCTATGTCGTCATCGTTAATAAATACGTGTTCAGGTCCTTCGAATTGTCGGTACTCGAGAAAAAATACCGAAAGTGACATAAAGAACACGTACGCGCAGACCATGAAGACCAAACCGTACCAAATCCAGTACGTTTCTGACGGGATCTCAAACAAACTCAACGAGTACTTGCCCATCGTCATACCGTATTTTTCACAGTAATCCACATCTCCATAGACACAAGTGTCGAAGCGTGAGTCACTGTACTGACTCACAGCCAAAGAGCGAACACACCAAGCCACGGGATTCAACCAGTACAGCCACACCAAATAGTCCGGAATGTTCCCTTTTGTGACCACGAATCCACCGAAAAGGATGAAAAACAACGTGGTAGTCATCGAAATCGGCTCCACTACATGAAGATCTGGCGCTGCAGCCGACAAGAACAGGAAAAAGGCTGCAAAAGCCATAATAGTGAGGATCACAGTCAACTCGTAGAGGATAAAAGCTCCAGCAGCAGGGGCAAAGCCACACATTCAGTACACCATCGATCCGTACACGAAACTCTCTAGAACTGCCAGCGGAATTTGACTCACCGAGTTGGCCCATACATATGAAGCAGTTCGGTAGAAATTAGCACCTCTCTGCTTGTAAAACACGTCTCTACTGGCCATGAACGTAGGGATCTGCGCCGACTGACTCATCGATAAGAACATGACGGAAGCGAATATGATTCCCAGTACGATCTGAGCGTCCGTGACGTCGAACTGGTAGTACACACTGCCGTTCAGAAGGCCCATTACAATGACCATCAAGCCTCTCCCCTTCAAGTAAGCAGTGTTGCGGATTGTCATCTTGATCTGGCGCTTCATAAGCGTACCAGTGCTAGCCAAGAAGCCCTGGCAAAAGTTTGGGAAGGAGTCCATGAATTTCTCCTTTATCTCCAGAAGTTTTGGCGACACTGGAGAGTTCAATTCCGCTTGAAGACGGTAAAATACGTCCGAGTTTGCTAAGGCTTCTGCGAATTCGCTAGGCGTACGAGGAATCACAGCCAGCTCGTTCTCATACAGAGTCTGTTTGTTCGTTCGGAGATCCATCAGAAAGTCCGCGACGTCCCGATGTGGAATGCATTTGAACCCCAAACTTTCGAAGTAACTTAGAGCATCTTCTCTCGGCCCGTTGTACATTACCCGGCCAGCGTTGAGGAGAAGCACATTGTCGAACAAATTGAAGATTTCAGGAGACGGTTGCAGAAGTGAAATCACCACAGTTTTGTGGAATTTCTTGGCCAGACTGCGCTGCGTATTGACGATATCGAAGGCTGCAGCGCTGTCGAGACCCGTACTGATCTCGTCCATCATCAAGACTTGTTGGTTGCCAAACTGCATTTCAGCAGTCGAAACACGCTTGCGTTCACCACCAGACACACCACGCAACATGGCATCGCCTACTACCGTGTTTTGACACATTTGAAGTCCAAATTGCTGAGTTACAACTCCCGGGTGGTGTTTGAACATGGCGTTAGCGACTTCCATAGCCGCTGCGTTCTCTGCAGGATTGCCCGTCATGTGCTTCTTAGCATCATGCTCCGAAAGCTCCAGGCCGCAACAAGCGTGTGCGAACTCTAACGTCTCCTTCACGGTTAGAGCAGCTATGTGTTTGTCTTGCTGGGCCACGTACGACACGAATTGAGGAAGTCGATCGCAGAGTTCGCTGCTAGTTGCGCCGTTGTATGCTATTTCACCTTCGATTGCGATATTCTTCTTCGCTGCGAATCGCCCACTCAGCATTTTCATTAACGTCGACTTGCCCGAACCAGGTTGGCCCAATACCAACGTGATCGTACCAGGTTTAAACACACCATTGACGTTTTTGAGAATCTGCTTCTGGACCAGGTGTTTCTTGGCACGGAGCTTGCGAAAATCCTTGGCTAGTTCGTTCGGCAACATCGGCAGCTCCGCTGTGCTCTCCGTCACGTCCTTCACGATGATATCTGCCGATATAGATAGATCCTTGAAGCGTACTTCAATCATGGGCTGTGTATCTCCGAATGCTGCGTCCATCCGAGTTGCTACGTGGTCGTGCAGAGCGAGAGAACCGCGAGCCATCAATGCAGCACCACTCGAGTACCCGAATTCAGGCTTGCCAGGCTCCTTGTCGTTGGCCATGATGGGTATCGAAAGCCAATTGCTAAATGAACATGAACAGTGTTGCCTTTTGTTGTCTGCAACTTTCTGCATGGACCGGGCAGTGGTGAGTAACTGTCGTTGATTTGGCTGTTGTATGGACGTGGTATTTGGACCATAATCGACAAAGTTCTGATTATTTCCACGGGCAGGTCATGCATCCACGCAGCATCGTTGATTTGGGGCTAGAATCACGGCCTGGTACAGTACTCCATTGAACGTTTTGGTCTCGGTGTTGGAGAACTGTCGTATGCTGGCCTCATAGACTGACCGGCATTCTGTTTGGGTAGCTTTGCGCTTCGTCTTGTTTGACTGTTTTAGGCTATTTGTAGCTTTGGTTTGGAAAACCAGACACTGTCATTTTTGAGATCTCAACTTTCAAAAGTTTTGGCTGAAACAGTTCTCCATATTCTCATCGGTGGCCTGCGAATGGAGGAGGAGTCTAAGAGAACGACACTGTATTGGTCCTACAGGGATCGAAAACGCAGGAAGAAAATCTTTCGTGTTGAGAGTGATGGTCGTCATTCAGTTCAAGATTTTCAACACACCACTAAAAATATCGGTTGTGCCACAAACATTTTAAATACATGTAGGAACTATAGCAAGGTCAACTTTGAGATACGTAATATATATAACTAAAGAAGGTTTCTCGATTATCTTATCCAAGGTGTTTGTTGCTGAAACCGACGCAAATTGATGTCTTTTTTTAAGTGTAGAGTTAGTGATGGTTATCGGTGTGAGGAACTAGAAGCAAGAGTATATGTGTACGACGCTAAAGTCACTGGGCTCAGTGTATTGCTGCATGAGGTGGAGATTGTTGCAGCCACTGTACAGCTATACGGCCCGAGGACTTGATGCTCAACACACAGCCCAACGACCCCACAACGCTGCTTGAAGCACTGCAAGACGTGGATGCCACACACACCCTACGACACGATGTTGCCACACGCAGTGCTGTTCCCGGGATACATAAGAAAGAGCAATAGTAAGAGATCTGGAATACACAAGGGTTAAGAGGGTGGTGGCATCGAGTGGGCTGCACGCACTGAGCTGTAGCATATCTCATTCCGACATTTACCTTGTCAACACCAACTCACTCAACTCCTAGCTCAGGTGCCCTTCCACATCGTGTTCCGTAGCTACGTTACATTTGGTTAAAACATTAATAAATGCTTCCACGAATGAAACCACCATCTAGCAGTTAATATTTACTTTTTTTTTCCTCGGACTCGCTCGGCATATTGAAGCATGTTGTGGGTAACGAGTAGTAGTATATTTGACCTTAGCAATGAGAGACCTGCTGATTCACGGCCGCGGGCGTAAACCCCCTTTTTAGAATCAGCAGGAGTCTCGGTCAAACACGTTTACCGTGGCCCCACCATTTGAGATGCAAGTTCAGCGGATGATGACTTGCCGTATCGCGTGTAGCGCTAAAAAAAAAAACCCTCCGATTTCCAGCGGCCATGAAGCTCGACTCTTGTACTATCGACGCCTGCTGCTAGGAGTGCCCTAGCCCCACCGCTTCTCAGTAAATGACACGAGTATCTCGACGGGTCTGCACCAAGTGCCTTAGCCGCTAGCCGCAGCACCTTCGCCATTGCGCTGGCCTGTAGCAATTCGGATTCTGAGACGAGGCAGATAGGATCTTCAAGTGATGAGTCAATTTTTGCAGCATGATGAAGCAAGACAATTGCAGCTCGGACAGGACAAATAGTACGGTGGCCGGATCAGGTGAGTTGTCTTATGACACCTGTGTCGTCTTGGTCATTCTCGCTCCCAGGAGGCGTTATTTTCACTGAAGTTGCCTCCAACATGCGTGCGGTTGTCCGACCTCGCTCATCACGAACAACGACGTCCTTTAGTTGCAAGGTGTAGACACGTCTTGTGCCCTTGACCGCCAGATATTCTGCGCTCCTTAGAAAAAAGAAGAAGCCCAACAGCGCAGCCCCACCAATGACGCGCTGATGAGCTTCGGAGGGGTCAAGGTGGTTGAGAATCCATTGGAGCATTGCAACCGTGACGGGTTCTCGCGATGTTGGTGGGCTGCCGGCGTGCTGCATTCCAGAAGGACGAGGCAGTGGCTGGCAGTGAGCTGGGGATCGGTGTCGTAATAGGCACGATGATACTCGGGATCTCGGTGCGACTACCTAAAGACGACCCTCACCGACAATCCCTACTGCTGGCCCTCTTCAGCGTTCATTACTGGACCGGCAGTCAACCAACAGGGCGTGCCTCGGCGAGCTCCGTTCGATCCAAGATCAGCCATGTTCAATGGTCCACTGTTTTCACGTGATTGCGTACTGGCGTAGTGATGATTCGGACAGGGAGCTCTGCTGTAAGACGACAAGGTGCTGGAGTAAATCTTGCGGGCGGCGGGTGAGACCGGTACCTGCGACCACAAGTTCGTTAGTTGCTGCCATGTTGTAGCATGCTTACCCGACCGCCCTTGTGAGCATAAGTCAGCCAGATAGTTAGATTCACCCGGCAAATGCTCAGCGGACACACGCAGCCCAAGACGAGCTTCCAGCGCTCCTAACACACGGTTCTGCTCCTGAGCCAGCGGTTCACGGCTCGAAAGCGAGTTACACCATGACACAGCGGACTTGTTGTCTATCCAGAAACGGACATGTGTGACTGTGTTGATAGTACAGGCGCCCATAAATTTACCCAACAGAACAGCGCAAACACCGCTGAGAGCTGTTCGTGGAGATTAATCGAGAACTGCTTCTCTCGGATCATCTCACGCTCAGACTCGTCGAACTGAACCTGTAAAAATTGTTTCATAGCGGGATGCAGAGCGCACCCCCCAGCAAGACGCTGGAAGAATGGGCGGGCTGGGCGTATACACGAACAAACATGACGAAGCGAGCCTAGGGCCTTACTGAGGTTCGTTCGTGACACTTGTTCCCCTTCCAACAGGGCTCGTATGCGATGTAATGCTTTTGTATCTTCTCCGTCGGCATCGACACTGTCCCAGTCCAGGCCCAGTGCTCGCGCCCTCGTTTACCATGGCGTAAACTTCTTTTCGTTGATAGATCGAGGCCCCAAAACAGCAAGCATGACCAGTCGTAACGCGATTTCACTGAGCAGTAAGCGGTTACCCGTGTCCTCCTCCACCAGGACGTGATCATCCACCCACATATAACAGTAAAATGGCTCATTGTCGCGGCTGGTTCGAGAGAGGCTGGCCAGGCTCCCACGCTGCACCAGGAACGTGATAGCTCCTCCACAGGCTTGATAGTGAGCCGGGGATCCCGTCCATCTAAAAGGGAGCGCTAAGTCGATAACCACCGCTCCTTGGCGTGTTAATGACTCCCGAACTTCGCGCAGACGCTCGGATGAGCGAAGATATGGCGGAA